AATATATATCTATATATTATTATTTCTATATATATTAGAAGGTATTTATACAAATCTTGTAAAAAAATTCCCTGAGAATTCCCTAAAAATTCCCTGATCTTCCAGGTATTTTTATTCAAAATTCCAGGTAACAAAAATATTTTAAAGATTTTTCGCTGCAATTTCCTAAAATAAGTTTTTTTTATTGTACGCGTTTTCTAATGCTTTACATTTATATGAAGAAAAAACATAAAGCCATTTAAGTTTTATGTGCTAGATTTACAAATGTTCTGAAAAAAAGACTGAATAGTTTTTGTTAAGATACAAATTTTTTACTAACCTTTAAACCTTTTTCATTTTTTATCACTAAAAATTAAAATAAAGAATATGTGTACTGCATATTCAATATTTTGTTAAGACATTGAATATATATAAACAGAGAGAGATATATATATTGTTTAAAATATATTTTAAACAATTCACAACTTGGCTTATTGGCGGATTCTATTGCTTACAGTATAAGAGCAAAATTATCAAAAAGAAAATTTTTTTTAATTTTCTGAGTCCCTATCAAATTCCATGAGAATTCCCTGATTTCTCCAAATACAAAAAAAATCCTTGAGAATTCCAGGTTTTCCATGTTTTTTTCCAGGGAATAGACATCCTGTTATTATTTTCTATATATAAAATATATAGAAGTCTGTGGCATCACATTATATTAAAATATTGTATGTAGATATATAAATAGAAAAAAAACTAATTCCCCTCCCCTCCCCATAAAATACGTTTTTTTGTGAAAAAGAACGTTTTTTTATATCTCTAATTGTGTAATTGTAATTTACTTGATTTACTTAATATACTATTTACATTAATTTGACATTATATTTGCTTATGTACAACATATCAGTTTTGTTTGCAAAATGGCAATTTTTGAATAACAACACCTGGTTTTTTTTATATTTTATTATTGTTACATTTTATTAAATAAGTTCTTAAAAACCATCAAAAAATATCAATCATATTAATTGTATTACTTTCCAACATTGAACAAAGATGTAATTAATTTTTTTTCTCTAATATCTATTAAAAGTATACAGAATGGATCCAAACGTTCCGGCCAGACTTTGAGATTTTATAGGAAGTTTAATTCTGAACAAAAAGTTTCCTATAAACATGGGTCAAAAAATACTTCCTTAAAAAGTTAACGCCAAAAAACCTCTGAAACGGTTATTTTATACATTTTTACAAATATCAGGAAAAGTATGCGTTTTTTAACAAAAAGTACCGAAACAAAAGTAGAGAATTAAATTATCTTTCAAATGAGATCAAAATGACCTTCCCAAAGTTAGCCCCCCACTTTGACTTTTGGGAATTTTCTTTTTATCAATCGATTGGTGGTTGATTGGTAATGTTTGGTATCGCATTACCCCATTCTACAATAAGCCGTATGTCGTTAGTCGTAAGCAAATTGACCAATCACAATCGAATATTCTCGGAATAATCGACTGTCATTGGTCAATTTGTGACTTACAACCGTAATCCCAATCGCCCACAATCCGTAATGTAATACGGTCTTAAGGGTCGGCAGGAGTGACGATCAAACTCCGAATTGATATTGAAGACCTCGCGCGGTGACAATGCGAAACTCCGACTTCAGGATTACCAATCTGAGAAATAAATTCTCGATCTCTATGTAGAGGTGTATGTCCATATACGTACACACACGATTGAATTGCTGGCGTGGACGCACCGTGGAGAGGAAAGATAGAAAAGGATCAACGATCAAGGTGCCTTTTCACGCTGACGCTCGACGCTCATTTTTAGCGTCAAAATAGGTCACGTGATTAAAGTTGACGCTACATTTTGAAAAACGCATGAAAAGGGTTTAGCATCGAATTTATAGCGTCAATACAGTGTGTGTGATCGTATCATCGTGAATCATGTCATTCAGAAATAAATATTACATGTGGTTAAGCAAATGTACGAAAAAATTATCAGAACAAAATTGGCAACGTAAGAAACTTGTAGCAGTAGTTCTGATAAACGATGAATTACAAAAACAGGAAAGAAGAAATTATCATAGGAAATGTTATTGGGTTAATCCAATATTCATGGAACGATACGATCATGGATTTTACCACGCAATCTTTCCTGTTATTATTTTGGAAGAAGCACGATTCAGGAATTATTTTCGCACGACACTCCTACACAATTTGAAGAGTTACTAAATTGAATAGCACCCCATACAGCACAGAACATTGCAATTACATTGCAGTAATGTTACAATCTTGCAAGTTGCAATGTAATGTTGTTGAGACATTATTTATCTATATATACAATTTTTTCCTATAAATATCAAACTCAGATTTTTTTATATTAATTAGGTTCCTAGCTTCTGGTGATTCGATGACATCTATGTCATATCAATACCTTGTTGGGTTAACAATTGTGAGTAATATCATCGAAGAGACATGTAATACTATTTGGAATTGTCTGCAGAAGAAAATACTTTCTCCTTGTTTAAATGAAGACAATTGGCTAAATATTGCTAGAAACTTCGAGACAAAATGGAACTTTAACCATTGTATTGGAGCAATTGATGGAAAACATATTCTTCTTCAGGTATATACATATGCAAAAACAATATATATATATATATATATATATAAAATGTTTTAAAAAAATATGCTGTTCCAAAGGAAAAAAAATATATTATTGAATGTTGCTTTTAAATAAAACATATTCATTAATGTTTTCTTGGATCATTATATCATAGGTTAACTGTAATATTTTTTGCATTGTTTCAAACCTAGTCCTTGATGACATTTTCTTTAACCTAAATCTCACTAAACTTAAAAAAGAATCCATTTCGTCAGGTTCTGGTGGCACAGGAAGAACTATTCTATCTTCTTTACACAGCATCCACCATTCTTTCTATTGCACTAGGGCCGGGTTGTTCCAACCTCTAGGTAAACTTACCTGACGGTTAAAAGCACACTAATGTATGCTTTTAACCGCCAGGTAAGTTTACCTAGAGGTTGGAACAACCCGGCCTAAAAGTATCACTTTTTTTTTCGTTTTCCCTTATTGGAATCTAAAATACAAAAATTTTTTAAATTATTTTTAATAATTTTTTAAATTATTTGACATGTTTCAATTGTACCTGTTCGGAGGGTTTCTGCATTATTTTCATCATTTATTAACGATGAGTTTGAATTATGCTCATTATTTATATTAGACACCGTGCTGTAATGTTTATAATCAGTCAAATACTTTAATATATAATTCATATAATTATTTAATAAATTTTTATATTCATATAATTATTTAATAAATATTTATGCTTACATTTTTTGAAGACAAGAGTCTTTAAGAAAATCATCCAAAGAATGGTAATGAGGCCATTTTTGGACTGTATCCCTTCTACCAGATCCACTCATTCGCTGTTCTGATTGCATAATTTTACGGTACGTATCATGCAATGACTTGAATCTTTTTTGTGCTTCTTCTGCATTTATTTTACCTGCAAAGGATATAAATTTATTATTTTGTTAGATGTTTATCGTATTATTTTTATACTCACCATTAAATGCCACAGCTATTTCTGACCATAATCGTTGTCTTATTGTAGATCTGCGTTGCACCAAAAGTAAAGAATAATCCCACAATGGTGGGCGTTTTTGTACTTCGAGAATTAATAATTCTTCATCATCAAAATTTAATTTGTTTCCTGCGCTATCATTTAATTTTTGACGTTTTTGACAATTAATTTGTTTAAGTTGTCCAGAAATTCTTGGTGTTTCCTTTTGTCTTATGTGTACAATATTATCTAAAAAAATTATTAAAATTATTTTGATATCTCTCTATTTAAAAAGATTCTTTTTTTACTTACTTTTATTGTTATCATGAAATGGTTCTTCTACTAATTGTTCCACATTATTTATATCGCTTCGTCTCACGATAGTTATTCCATCATCTAAAAAATATTAATATTTGTTTCAGTAAATATAGAAAGAAAATAAATATTGAGAAAAAAATACAACACATACCTGCACATACCTGCTAATGGATAAAAATATAATGTGTTTGGATCAACAGTATAAGAATTATATCCTTCTAGGCAACCATGTGTGTTAATATCTTTTTGATCACATATTTCTTCACATACTCCACATGTTTGAACAAGTTCATAATCCTACAAATAAAAAATAATATATATTATTAAATCAATTCTTTTAATATATGTAACATTTTTTTATTCTATATTTACAGACTTAAAAATATCATATGTTACTTATTTTGGTAAATATGCAGAATGTGTATCTCCTCAATTTAAACAAAGCTTGATATTACTGCGAACTTTGATGAGTAGAAAATAGTATTTAGAATAGTTGTGCTCAGTATTATAAAATTTTTAATGTAATAATATTTAAAAATTTTTCAAAGATGGGAATTCATTGGATCAATAGAATAAAAATACATGGCAATGTAATATAATATAATATAATATATGCAATGTAATATAATATAATATACTTCAAGCTTATTTAATGAAATAACTCTTAAAGGTCGGCAGGAGTGACGGCCAAACTCCGAATTGATATTGGAGACCTCGCGCGGTGACAATGCGAAACTTCAGGATTACCAATTTGACAAATAAATTCTCGATCTCTATGTAGAGGTATATGTCCATATACGTACACACACGATTGAATTGCTCGCGTGGACGCACCGTGGAGAGGAAAGATAGAAAAGGATCAACGATCACGTTATCCTTGTTCCTCTAGCATAATATCTAATATGTGTGTGTATCAATAATATCTAAAAATTATATATATGATTAAAAATTGTATGACGATAAATAATAACAGTAAAATAATAACTCACAGAGTGAACTAATATACAATATGTAAAACACGGGCACTTATTAGACTTGGCAATTTATTGCTTTTTTACTTGTTGCTTTTTCATCGGTACTTTATGTATTGTCAGCATGATAGAGCGACAAGGAGAGAACGATTGTTAATTCTTGGCTTACATTATCTTTCAGTAATTGCAAATTTATAGACCGACAAGTATGCTATCTTGATTTCTTTTCGATTATATCGATATTATTGTGTAAAAATATCTGCTATATGAAAGCATTTACAAGAAATATGTGATGGCTCAGTGCAAGAGTGTTCAATCTATCACGCAGTAAACTCAAGTTCAATTCCACAGACATCTTAACAGACTTCCGTTTGTTCTCTTGGTGAGTGAACATCGTTATCAATTGTAATCAGCGCGTTTATCATTTTGTCGATTCGAGGACTCTGGTAATCTGGTCCTTGCGAATATTGTACTCTTGTGTGACTCGACTTGCTTGCCAGCTTGGGCATAGCTTTCTTCAAGTTCATCTTTGGCCTCCTTCGCTAATCTTGCGTCGGCACGTGAGTTAGGACACGGCCATATTGTCCTTCCGTGCAAGGACATATTCTGCGTATTAAATCATACGCCTTTACACACACCACACGTGTTATTTTATCATCATTATGGAGGTCACTCCGGAAAAGATCTACGAGAACACAACAAAGAACATGTCTTCGCCTCTTATTGAGACGAACAACAACGATGATGTTGCCAAAAACGTGCGCAATATAATCTATCGTAATCGTAAAAGGAATCCTGATTTTTCTTTGAGAAGCCCTCTTCCACCAAAAAGATCCACTCTGGATCCATTTGATTTGCAAGATCCTAGAATCTCAAACAAATATGGCCTCTCCACCAAGCCTCCATTCATTATACATATGGAGAAAATCATCTATAAACCTTTTTCCGCCGCCCAGGAACGGGTTTCGGAAAACAAAGAAAGTAACGACAACGCCAACACAGGTATCGGTAGCTGTAATTCTATCCTATCTAATCCTAATCAAAGATCTTCCACTGGCTCATATGGCATTATTGCATTTGGTAAGCGTATCTTTAAACATATTGATAACTTTTCTTCAGCCTATGACCTAAAAACTATAGGTAGGAATAAATTTACGGTAACTTTCCCAGATGGCAATTCTGCAAATAAATTCTGTGATATTTTTAATAAAAAATCCAATATCATCTTTCCTAGGGAAACATAGATAGCATACATACCTAGTTATAGAGTTGTTATGCCTGATACAGACTATGCATTGAAGATTGAGATTCAAGATTCAAAATTGAAATTTGACCAATCAGAATAAAGAAATTTTAGTCCCTTTTGTTCTGATTAGTCAAATTCCAATCTTTAATCTTCAATCTTCAATTTTCAATGCGTAGTCTGATACGGGCTTTAGACAGTTTGTCGTCAGGGGTATTGACGATGACGATTCCCCTGAGGACATAATAAAAAATATCCGCCCTCCGCCGGATTGGGATATTCTGTGGCAACCTCCATTCGAGGCTTCCAGACTGGAAAAACCTTTTCGAACCCAAAATAAGGATAATACCTTCACTACTAAATTCATTGACTCTGACTCATATATTATCCGTTTCAGGACAATAACTGTACCCCCTAGCATTATATACATGGGAAAAAGACTTCATCTCATCCCATTTATCGAAAAAGTCAGAAGGTGTCAAAGGTGCCAGAGATTCGGCCATGTTGCAAAAATTTGCCGAACTCCGGAAAAGAATACTATTTGCCAGCGTTGCGGTAAGAATACCTCTTCTTGTGGCTGTAATAGTAACGATAACGAACCCTGCACGACCGAAAAGCCTTCTTGCATTAATTGCCAAAGACAAAAATTGCCGGACTCTGTTACGGAACACGAGGCATTCTCCAACTCCTGTCCCGTCTTCCAAAAACAGAGAAAAATTAAAAAACTCATGGCTTACCATAACATCTCTCATTTGGAAACCATTTCAATTCTTGAAAATGCAAATTCTCATTTACAACCAGGTAATATTCTACCTCATTCACTCCCTCCTCTTGGAGTTCCCCTTCCTACCCTGGGTGAATTCCTCCCCGGTGCTCCTCCAGAATCCTATGCGGAGGCGGCATCTAGGAACAACTATAGCAATTATAATCATAATCTTAGCTCAACCTTTAACAAAACTCAGTTCCCCAAAATCGTTAAATCTCTACACATCTCTAATAAATTTTCCATTAATCCATTAGCAACCTATAAAAGACAAGAGGCTAATCCTAAACCTAAAGTTTATTACCCCTCCCAAAAGAAACTTACCTACATAACCCCCTCCCAAAACCCTCCCACATCACCACCTAATCCCTCTACTATCACCGAATACCATAAATCTTTACCGATCAACAAACACGCTACCACATCCACTCTTCCCCCCCCCTCGCTTCAACTACTAATAATCTAAACACTCTCTCCTCACACTCTGAAATCATAAATAATTGGATACTTGAATGCCAAAACAGATTCTCCTCTGTCAATCTCATACAAACTGATATATTATCCCAAATGGGAATTTTCCTTAACAATGCCATTCTTTCTTGATGGACTCTGCCATGGGCTATCTTACGCTCATTACACAAAGTTAATTCACATAATGACAATCAATATTTTGCAGTGGAATTGTCGCTCATTGCAGAGGAGAATCCCGGAATTGGCTTTTCTACTTGATAATTACAAAATAGATATCGCCACTTTATGCGAAATTAGATTAGACGAACAATTCCGCCCCAACGTTAATAACTATGATATCTATTCCCAAGATCGCAACCGTCATGGCGGTGGCGTCGCTATTCTAATCAAGAAGAAATATAGATTCACACAAATTGCAGATAATAATATGAATCTTATCTGTAATCGCAATAACATTGAATATATTTTAGGAAAAGTCTGGCTTAACTCAGATAAACATATATACATTTGTTCGCTCTATAGCCCTCCCCGTGGCGGTAATTATGCATATACTGAGCCGCTGGCTTGGACTTCGTTACTTCAATGTTGTGTTAACTTAGACCCAATAATCATTTGTGGTGATGTTAATGGCAAGAGTGCTCTCTGGTCCTCAGATGTTTTGGGTTCGGATCAGGAGGGAAGCAAACTGGAAAACGCCATATCACAGTTTAATCTCCCATGTCTTAACGACGGTGGCTACACCTGGTCGTCGGTGGATTTCTCGTCCACCTCAGCCCTTGATGTCACACTGACCTCTCCATCTATTGCGCACAAATGCACTTGGGAGGTTCTTGACGGGAAGCACGGTAGCGACCATTTTCCTATTTTAATAACCATCTCACACTATAACTCTAGCCCGTCTTTCGGTCGCCCCTCCTTTGTCACTACCAACATTGATTGGCATATATTCCAGCAAGAATGCTCCAAATTTGTACGTCATTTCCATATTTTTAATGATAACTTGAAATCTACTTACGATAACTTAATCAATAATATCCA